TTCAACAGATGAATGGACAAAGAAACTGTGGTATCAGTCTGGGTTTGTGGCTCAGTGATAGAGCACTTGCCTAGCACATGTGAAGCACTGGGTGTGATCCTCAGCACCAAATAAAAATAAATAAATAAAATAAAAGGCATTGTGTTCATCTACAACTAAAAAAAATATTTTAAAAAAAGAAACTGGTATATATACACAATGGAATATTATTCAGCCTTAAAGAAGAATGAAATTATGGCATTTGAAGGTAAGTGAATGGAGCTGGAGAACATCATGCTAAGTGAAATAATCCAATCCCCCAATACCAAAGGCTGACTATTTTCTCTGATACGAAGATGCTAATTCACAATAAGAAGTGGGGGGTCGGGGTACTTTGGATTAGGTAGAGGGGAGTGAAGGGAGGAGAGGGGCTCTGGGGGTAGGAAGGGTAGTAGAATGAATCAGAAATTCTTGCCCTGTGTACTATGATCACACAACTGGTGTGATTCTACATCATGTACAACCAGAGGAATGAGAAGTTATACTCCACTTATGTGTGATGGATCAAAATGCATTCTACTGTCATGAATAACTAATAAGAAAAAATATTTTAAAATCTTTAAAAAATGTAAACATTTCACCAAAAACAAATTAGAAATTGATATCTAGCTCAGCGGCACCTCTTGCCCCCACAGAAGCAGCGATGATGTTTTGACATGTCTCTCTGGGTCTCGAGACCCTCATGCCTGTGGTCACACTCTGACCAATAATTATTCTAAGAGGACATTAAATTCCAGAATTTATTTATGCACTCCTTGTAAAACCCTTGTGTTTGAGAAAGCATGGCATTGTAATAGGCACGGTGACGGGCAGGGTGGCCCCGGGGTGCAGTTGGCTGCGCTCAGCATGCAGCTGAGCTTCCTGGTGCTGTCACCTTTTTAGTGATGTGTGTGGTCATTTGAAAACTTTTGAGTCACCACCTCTGGAGCTTAATTCTCTTCCTTGCCTTGTAACCAAGATCTCTGTCCTCCAAGTCGTCGTGGTGGATAGTAGCTCAAGTGCCATTTTACTTTCAGCCTGTACCTAAACTCATCAAGATTCTTTTGGAAACTAGAATGCAGAAAGCCAGGCAGATCTCAGGGACTGTCACACATACAGTTCATGTCACAGGTGAGCCCAAACATCTCCGTGGGCATCCACACTGACCTAACCTGGACCAGCTGCCTATTAACTAGTACTGACATATGCAGCGAGTGCTTGCTGTCTCTGTGCTTGGTACTCCTTCTCTCCCCGCATGGCCACTGCTCTGTGTGCTGCTGCCTCTAAACGTTGCCTGGATAGTGTCTGAGCTACAGCCCACTCCTGCTGTGGTCCCGACCACCGAGGACACCTGAAATCGCCCACCTGGTGGGTGTCATCTCCTGGCTACCTCTGGGTGGGCTGGCCACTACACAGGGCTCCATGCAAGACCCTCCAGGGATCGGTGGCATCTTGGAAGCTGATCACTCCAAGAACTTGTGATAAGATCGGCTTTCCTCAGAGAGTTCTTGAAGGAGGGCACATGTTTCTTTCACCCCCTGCCATGTATGAACCGCTGGGAACTGAGAAGCTTCAAGGGAACCCAGTAGCAAGGGGCGAGCTCCTGGACTCTGGAGCACAGATCTGGAGCTGACATGCTGTGTGACCTGGGCTCCAGCAGGTGGGAGGTGGGAGCACCACTTCTCCTGGGCCAGGTGGCTGAGGAGGGCGGATGCTTCTGAGCACTCCGTCAGCAGTGGTTCTGAGTGTCACCCCCAGAGATGTCACTGCTGGGAAAGCAAAAGTCCTCTGGCTTTTCCTGCCCATGGTTCCTCTGCTTGACCTACTTCTGCCTTGGGTGGGACTCCCCCACCCCCCAGCTGTTGTGCAGGATTGTGGGTCCTTCCGGCTCTGTTTCTCCTGGTTCCTCCATGATTGGATAGGATGGTGTCCCCAGCTCACCTGGGTTGGAAGCCAGGGTCCCGGGCATGCTGGGGAAGTGCACCATCACCAAGCCACCATCCCAGCTGTTTCCTTTGCTTGGAGAGTATCTCTGCAGTTCAGTTTCGGGAGTTCAGCAGCAAGACTGTGTCCTTTGCACTCCCTTTTTTAAAAATATTATTTTCTTTTCTGGCTTGAAAAGAGATTTTCAATGGAAAAGAGTTAAGAAGGACAGGAAAACAAAACACCACATGCCCCCTGGGGAAGTGCCCAATTTATGTGTTTGAGGCACAGACATATTTTCTGGAATGTCGTACTGTGGGCCACGGTGCTGGGGATGGAACCCAGGCCCTCGTGTGCTGGGCAAGTGCCCTACCACTGAGCTGCAGCTGCAGCCCATGCAGATGCTTGATAAAGTCACAATCAGAAGCTGTATTGTAATTTCAAAATAAAAATTATTTTTGCCTCTTGAAGAGGATTTAATTATGCATACATTACAAGATTAATATTTATTGTAGTTTTCACACGCAGAAGGCTTCACTTCAGAAGATTAGCCTCGTGTTGCATTAGCTAAAGAATGGGGAGTCTCTCTGTGATTGCTGTTATTCCATTACCAAAAGTCACCAATGAGCATTTGCTTCTGTTATACCTATTTACATGCCTGTCTTTCATGTCTGTCTGATAGGACACTGGCTTTCTGTGTCTAGTCAGTGACAGGCTCAATTAAGCAACAGTTCCTCATAGATACTGAAATGGAGAGTCTTTTCCATCACACTCTTGTGTAGACCCAGTCCTTTTTATTTGACTTTATAAATAAAATAAAACGCATAGATGAGCTAATCTGGCAAGACAAGTGATACACAAGGACTTTGACTCATCGTAGGGCAAATGAAGCAATAAATATTGAACAAAGAAAACTAATTTGTATTTGTACCATTTTAATACAGAAAATGTTTTTCAAAATCAGTATCAGCCAATTGGCCTTTGCCAGATTTCTTTTAGCGCAATGATTATAAATAGCCCAGGTCCACATATCTTTTATACTGCAGCTCTATTTTCTTGATTTGCTTTAGATCACATCTCAAAATATCATTGTTGATGTGTTGTAGAGGTCTGTACTAGACTGTTCATTTACTTACCTTTTCAGGCTTTCAATGGGTTTTAGAGAAATGATATTCAAAGACTTATAAACACCAGTGGTTGAATCTAGGAGTCTCCATGCACATCAATTCCTTCTGATTGTAGAGTTGACATAGCAGTTAAATGAGATTTTTGGTGGAAAAGAGAACTTTCTAAGGGAACATTTTGCAAAGCGCATTTCAATGCAGGGAGGGGCAAGACTATAAACTCTTATTTTTTCCTCTCCTTCATGAATCCGATTTACCCAGGATTATGTGGACCCTGTTATCGTCACATGTGTGCACCAACACTGGCTGAGCTGCTGTCCGACGTGCTTTTAGGAGAACTTCGGCCTCCTCTGGCCGAGGTTCTGAGCCTCTGCTGCAGAGGTGTCCTAAGGCAGAACTCTCAGCCTCCACGGTCCAGCTGAGTTTCCTACAGGTTATGATCCAACCAAAGGAGGGTTTTTATTATTTTATTTTATTTTAGTTTAGTTTAGTTTTCGGCAGACACAACATCTTTGTTTGTATGTGGTGCTGAGGATCGAACCTGGGCTGCACGCATGCCAGGCGAGCGCGCTACCGCTTGAGCCACATCCCCAGCCCCTCAAAGGAGGTTTTTGCGGCTCCCACCTTCAGTTCTCAGTTTCAACAGTTGCGTTATCCGGCTTTTCCCTGGAAGCTAGGGTCTTCTTTAGCCAGGAGAGAAGGGAGCTATGAGATGCCATCTCCTTGGGCTTAGATCATGTGCCTCTGCTGCCTGGTGAACAGAGATGGCACTCAAGACCCCTGGAGGCCCAGGGTCTCACGGTTAAACACAACCTGGCATGCTCATGACCAACCAGACCCCTGGAGCTTCCAGGCTGGAGCAGGGCTGTCCCCCCACGGGAGGCCTGCCTCTCCCATGGGGGTGCTGCTCCAATGCCCACTCCTCGAATTGCAGGCTGGGTTGGGGGCACCAGCCAGCACACCCGTACAGGGCCAGGGCCATATTACTTCAGGGACTGCACCTGCCCCTAGAGATACACACACACACACACACACACAGGAGGACAGGGCTGTGACCTCCAGACATCTAGCTGGCTTGGTCATTTCATCCATTCATCTGGAAAATTTAGGTCACAGGGCCAAAAGTCACACATTTTGGACATTTGCCCCTGGAAACGTGTATATTTGGGCCACTAAAAGAACGGGTGGTGTCTGTGGGGGGGGCCCCTCGTGGGGTCCGCAGTGGATGCCTCTCCACTCCCACTCCCGCCTTGCGGCTGACCTTGAATTACAGACGGCTTCTGTCACTGTTTCCCAATGAACTGGAAATAGATTATTTTCGCTAGTGGTTTTGTGCAGTTTCTCCAGAAAATACCACGAGGAATAGTCAATACCTTGGCACAAACGCCATGGAAGGGCCTGCAGGACTGGGGCCCGGGAGCCCTGGGTCTGAGGTCCACCTGTCCTGCCCTGTGGGAGGAATCTGCCCCACATATGCATCCCCTCCCTCCCCTTCTTACTTCCCATCCTCTTTTTCTCTTTCTTTCTCCTGTCTTCTTTTGTCCTGGGGAAGGGGGATGGATCTCCCACTGGAGGGTGTGTGTCCCCAACCATACTCCCTAGTCTCCCCTCCACTCCGGACAGCAGCTGGGGCACTGGGAGCGCCATCGCGGCATGTTCTCCACTGAGCGCCAGTAACTTCTGCTAACATAGTAACTGTGCGATCATAAAACTGCACTAACCCTAATCCCAGGGACTTCCTTTGTGCTTCTTGCCTTATAGACGCTGTCATTTAATGGCCACACCCATTAAAAGCAGAGGTAACCCTGCGGGCAGCCGAGGGGGTGATGCCTAGAGATGTTTTCCAACAGGATTTAAAATGGCTTTTATTTTGTTTGTAAAATGTACACAATGGACTACCAAATTTACTTTTTTCTTTCTTCCTCTTTTCAAAAGCCACACGCTAAGAACAAGATCTATGTCCAAAGTCAAGGTAAGAGTGTTTAAAATACACATATTATGTTTTGAAAGAAGGTGTCCTTTAGATAGACACACTGGGATGTTTTGGATGAGAGAATATGATTCTGATGTTTACTTAATGAGCAGGATGAACACAGTTTCATTGTTTTGTTTCAGAATAAGAAATGAATAGAACACCTAGGGGAAATGACGAAAGAGTCCTTGAGACTGAAGCCTTCCCCACACTTTCTGGCAGTGGGAGTGCAATCGACCTCACCCAGGGTGCCTGTACAACAGGGGCTGAGCACCCAAGTTGACTGAGTTGGGACCTGCCCCTCATCGCCCACCCCACCCTCTTGACCTCACCCAGACTGCCTGGTGGTGGCATCTGGAGCCCTCAGCCCAACCCTGTGGGCTGTAATCACTCCTGCAAAACACTGTCTTGTGCAACCTGGAGTGGAAAGAGGGGATTCAAGGGAGGGCAGGTGACCCGACCCAGGCCAGGACAGCACAGGCAGAGGCCCAGGATGGATGCAGGGACTTCATGGCTGGGACTTCCCCAGGTGCTGCTCACCTCCCTGCACCTGCCTGAAGACCCTCCTCATTGTGTCACCATGGAAACATTGCTCCTGTGTTTCAGTGTTGTTTTTAGCGTCAGGACCATTTTCACATATGCTCCTTTCTGGAGTGTGCACCATGAGCAGGTGTGCCGCCTGGCCTGTGAGGGAGGCTGCCTGGGCACAGGGCCAGGGGGCCGGGTGGGGGGAAGGCCAGGGGTCTCCCTCGATTACAGCCGGGAGATGCTGGAGCAGGGAGGAAGCAGTGTGGGTGTGGATGCAGCCCCACGCTGACATGCTGTGCCATCTCCGTGTGCAGCCAGAGAGGCTGGAGGAACCAACTTGGCGTGCAGATCTTAGGAGTGTGGACAGTGGGTGGAGGCACCGCCCCTCCCCCTCCCCCCAAGGTCCCTGGCAGAGGGCTCCAGTGTGTTATCTGAGCCAACCATGATTGCCAAAGTGGGTTCTAGAAGTGGTCAGATGACTTGATCGACGTGTTATAAAACTTCCAAGCTTCCTTCCCATCGTCAAAAAATCTGCTGAGTGTTGCTCTTGAATTTAGTCTAAATCTTACAGGTTTGCTTTTTAAGAAAAAATGTAAACTTAGCAAATCTGTTTGAGGAAATGTTACCTAGACTTCAGATGATTGGACACGAATTGGTGAGGTTGAGATGAGGAATTTTAAATAAAGATAAGATGGTACATGGGCCTGTTAGGACTCAGTTCTGTTGTGTGGGAAACCTTCTACACGGGTCCCTAAGGAACTTGAGATCTGCATGACCCAGAGGCAGTTTGACCTGGCCACGGACGGGGCCAGAGGCCGGCTATCCTGGTGGAACCTGGGGCTGCCCTTCCACCTCCCCTGCTGGAGGGTCGATGGGCCCAGTGGGGACTGGGCTAAGTGGGTTCCTAAGAACCAAAAAGTCCACAAGCTGCCATGTCTCCCAACCTCATCCATGCCCACATTCTCTTTTTCTGTTTCCTTCGACCCAGGAATTGCAACAATACCGAATGCCGCTTTTAACTGGAACAGCTTTCTTCAGCGCTCAGGTAAGCTGAGCCTTCTCCCAGGACTTGGATGCAAGTCCTCAGGGGAAGCTCCCTGTCACCTTCATGGGCTCTGAGGGAGAGCTTGCCTAGCCCAGAGGTGGACTGGCTCCGGTGGGGCAGGACTAGGAAGCAGGATACTGGCACAAGGCCAGGAAGATGCGGAGAGCACATGGGACATTTATTGGTCTTATTTATCTTCACAAGGGTTTGTACAGAGTGTTCATGCCTTTTAAAAAGTTCTCTTACATATTTTATTGCTTTTGATGCAACTATAAACTTAAAAAATGTATTCTCAAAATGTTTGCTGCCCGTATGTATAAATTATCGACACGATTTTTGCGTGTCGATGTAACCTGTGGTTTCATGGTTGCCAACACTACAAACTGGCTTGACTGAACCTTTCAACGGGGCACTGGCTTTTTGTAGCCCCATGATGAGCAGTCAGGAGAGTGCGAGGCCCTGCCTTCACGTACCTGGCCCTTCTTTTCTCGGGAGGGTTCCCACCATAGACTGTGCTAGACCACGCACCTGCTGGAGCTCCTGCCTCTAGAGAGATGCCTCCTGGAAAGGAGTCCACCAGAGATGCACAGAGGGGCTTCTTCCCTGCCTGAGAGCAGAGCAGATGAACATGGCCGTGATGTTCCTGCAGGATGTTGCTGCACAGTGTCCTTAGGTACAGGCGCGTGGTGGTCTGCGGGAGAGGCACCTGGGGCATGCTCTGGGAGGAAAGCTTCCTCACGGGCTGCCAGTCCAGCACTGCTGGGTGAAGGAGGGAGAAGAGGTGAAGTTGGATGCTGGGTACAGTTGGAAGTCCAAGGATTCTTCTGCTTTACGTGGAGACGTGTTTTCCCCAGAGGGGACAGTGTAGGAGTGCTGTCCAGATGGACCCACCTGCGGGTGAAGTGGAGTTGAAATCACAGGTCCACGGGGAAGCTGAGAAGCGCCGTCTTCCCTTAGCCAACACCAAGGCTGGCCCATTTCACCCCAGATCCTCACGCAAAACCGCACCCACCACAAACTGTGTGTCAGTACTGGTTTCCCTGGAGAAAAAGAATCTCCAAGCATTTTATTAGAAATAATTTCTGGAGTGTGCTCCTGCATCCAAGTGACAGCAGCAGGGCCGCACTCAGCATTACCGATGTAGCCGCGCCGTCGGGCCACTTCATCACCTCGGCCAGGGTGCCATTATTCAGAACTGGTGGGCCCCTCGAAATGGCCTGCCGTGAGGTTATTTCATCTTCAGGGAATCGCGGGATGTGGTGATGGCGTGACTGAGATTCATAATTCCTAAAGGAGGAGGATGCGTCCCAGGCACTGTGGCCTCTTGGCTGGCGTCTGGTGTTGCTACAGGGTGACCACAGAACACCCAGAGGGTCCAGTGCTCCCTAGCAGACCTGTCCTCTGGGCCCTGCATGGCGGCAGTGTCCTCATAGTGTGTGCGATTAGAAGCTGCCAGGTCCTTGGAACCCTCCGCCTGGGGAGTCTGGGGGTAGCTGGATGACTGCAAGATGGTGACTTCGGGTGGCTGGAATGGACCTGTGCCTGGGTTACCCAGCCAGGCGTCCGCTGGTCTGGGCCACTGTCTTTGTCCTATTCCAGGCTCTGAGGATAGACTGTCCTTGTCGTCTCTCTTCCATCCTACCTTGATCTCTGGGGCCTTTGGCACCTGTGGCTGTTTTGTCCCCTCCACTGAGCTTCAGTGAGAACAGAAGGTACACAGATTTGGAGCAGCTATTATAGCCCAAACCCCTTTTGAATTCTCATGAGCTACCTCTGTAGAGCTGGGTGGGTGGGGGGCCTCTCTGACCCCCGTCTACACAGCTGCCATCTGCTTGGTCACAAAGGCTGGTGGCGGGATAGTAGGCTTCTGCAGCGTTGGAGGACAACCTTTTATTTTTATTTTTTGGTACCAGGTATTGAAGCCAGGTACACTTAGCCACTGAGCCACAACCCCAGCCCTTTTTAATATTTAATTATTTAGACACAGGGTCTGGCTGAGTTGCTTAGGGTCCCGCTAATTTGCTGAGGCTGGCTTTGAATTCTCCATCCTCCTGCCTCAGCCTCCTGAGCCACTAGGATTACAGGCGTGTGCCACTGCGCCCTGCCTGAGGTCAGTCTTACCACGTGTTCTCATCTTCCAGTGTGTCTCAGGTTCCCAGACAGTGTGACTTCTCTCAGCCATAGCTAACAAAGTAAGTAGTCTCCTTGGTTGAAAACACTAAACCAGCTTGATGCTAGCAAGATCCATGTTTGCACATTTCAACTAAGAAGAATTTAACTGGCTACATGGAGTATGGGCTTCTCTAGTTCCTCATGTGGTGTTTGTGGCAGCCATTCTGATCAGAAGATATGGGGCAGATCCCAGGTGAGTGAGCTAGTTGTAGGGTTCTGGGCACTACCAGGTACCTTCAGTGTAATGTCCATGGTATTTGCTCCTATGCCCAAGTTAACACCTCTGAAGCCAGGGTTCCTTGCAGGCTGGGGCCACCAAACCCCCAAATTAGGATCAGATCTGATCCAGGCCTCTCCTTCCTATTTCTTTGTTTTTCATTTAATTTTTACTCCTGTTGCTTATTTATTTTAATCCCCCACCCTCAACACTTTGTATTTCTGAATGGAGCCCCTAAGATGCCTCACTCACACGTGGGTCTTTTTCTTTCCCGGGCTATTCCTAAGAAAGCTGGCTTGTTTTTGATATGGAAAATTGGTATTACTAGATCTCTTTATTCTCACACAGCCACAAAATCAGATTTTTCAGTTGAAATTCAGTAAGCCTAATGTGCTTGGCTGAAGTTCTTGAGTTCTTTTCTCCTGATAATAACCATAAAATGTAGAGGGGGATGTCGAGCTCAGACGGGGCGGGTGTGGGGCTCAGCCCGTTGGTGCCGGTGTGGGTGCCAGACCATGCAAACAGCATGATTCTGTTCTGAAGACAAAAATATCACCCTGCAGGAAACGGTCCAGGCAGGAAGACGGGTGAGTGTGTGCGTTTGTCAGTAAGGAGCTCACACCTGACTCACGCCTACCCTGGGTATCGCAGGAAACTCAGCAGTAAAAGTACCTCTGAGTTAAAACCAGGAAACACGATGCTCTGAGACTCACCCGGCTCGCAGGTCTCCTGCCTTAGGTGTCTTTTAAAACCTAGACAGGAGCTGTCCTAGGCTGCAGGGAGCCGAGCAGCCGCTGTCTGGCTGATGCCTGAGTCAAGGACTTGAACTCTGGCAGAAGGGCAGGACTTTCCAGCTGTTGTCTTCATTTCTGTGCGAGAGAAGTGCACACGAGACAGTCACATCTGAATGTTGTCTCCGTGACTCATGTTCAGCATCCGAGGACGAGACGGGGCACTTAGTCTTTTGTTCTGCCACCTCTGACTTAGTTCCCCCAATTCCCTTGACATTTAGTCTCCACCTCATAACAAAGATGGCGAAGAGGTGGGGAGTGCCGGCTTCACTCCGACCCCTCCAGGGTCTTTGTCAGAAGTCTCAAAATCGATCCAGTGGGTCAGGAACAAGCACCTTAAAAAATGGAAGTAAAGCCGAATGGGACACACAGAGTGCCTCGTGTGGACAGGACAGAAGGATTTCTTGCGGTTGCACACAACCCCGAGTGTGCACACCTCGTGGTGAGCGGCACTCTCACCTGGGCTCTGTGCTATGGGTCACCCTGCTCAGGGCCAGCTTTCCAAGGACCTGGGCCAGGGGACGTGCAGGCCGGACTCCCCTGCCTGACTTGGCCAGGGGCCAAGAGGCCTTCAAACTGGTATCTGAGCTGCTGACAGCGGTGCTGGTGAGGGAGGGTGTCCTGCCCCCATCCATCTCTGGGGCGGCCTCAAGGGCTGCCTGTTCTTCGTCTGTCTTTATTTCCCCCAGAACCACTAGTACAGATCTCTATGTATGCTGCATTTGGAGAGCAGGGTTCCAGGACTTCCTCTGTGGTTGGCTGGCTCCACTGCTTTCAGGCCTGTGGTGAAGCTGAACATGGTATGGAAGGTGTGGTGGAAGGAGCTTGGCCACCTCTTGGCAGCTGGAAAGCACGGACCCAGAGGTGGGGTGGAATCCAATGCCCCCTCCCAGGGCAAGCCCCGACCTCAGGTCCTCTGACCTTCAGTTCAGGCTATGCATCTATTTTGCAGCTCAGACTACAAACAAGTGCTAAGGTTTATGTTCTAAGGTCATTGAGGATATTCAGAGTACTGGGGAGGTATTTTTATAAAACCCTCAACATCTCAATGACAGTTTCAACAGTTCAGAGACAGCAATAATTTTATTTTTTTCTTTTGTGGTGTAGAGGATTGAGCCCAGGGCCCTAGGCATGCTAGGCAAGTGCTCTACCACCGGGGTCTAGCCCAGCTCAGGTGAGAACTTTTGAGGCTTTTTAGAGAGAATTTAGCCTGTGGGTAAAGTTTGTCTTCAGATTTAGATACACATTGCTTTTCTTAGGGTCTGGGAGTTCTGTTCACTGGAGTCCATAGTTAGACTCGTTGCATTTCTGTTCAAGACTCAGAAAAACAGAAGGTTGGAAATTGTTTGCATTGAATAATGGACAAATGCCCATCCTGGGAAAGATGACCTGGCAGGAGTTTATGGCCAGTTGTACTGGTTGCAAATGCCAGAGCGTCAGGTGGCCTGTGTTGAGGCTGTCAGTTGCCGAGGAGTCAGTCCTCTGCTGGGTGCAATCCAGAGGTGCCAGGGTGCCCTGCTTGAGGGGCCACCTGAGAATCTCTCTTGCTTTTGTGCGTGGGCATGGTCATTTTGTGGCTGCTCCTGTCTGCTCCCTGGAGTCTGCGAGGCTCACTCACTGTGTGCAGTTGGCTGAGGTTCAGGGAGTCCTGCCTGGCCTTGCCACAGGTCTGGGGTCTCACCCAGCAGGGATGCACCTCTCCTCACAGTCTCATTCCCAACACAGTTGCTGGGCCCCATTACCAGGCCCCCAGGTGTGCCAGGCAGTGGGTGTGTGGGCTCCACGAGGCTCCTACGGCCAATGCGTGGAGGTCGGTGCAGCCTCCCTCACTGTGAGGCCAGCCTGAGGTCAGGGAAGGAAGTGGGCACCGTTTGATGGGAACAGCTGCATACTCACACCACAGCTCTCCATCTGGCAAACCCAATCCTTTTAAAATCATACGAACATATTCTTTTATTTTGAAACCCTTTCCAGCTTTATGGAGGCATAATTGACAAATCAGAATTATAATCTGAATGATGCACAGTGTGAGGAATTGATGTACCCGTGTGTTCTCTCATGGGTCTGTGGGCATGTGCACTTAGATGTACGACCCTCTCCCTGCCTGGTTGTGTATTAAGCATACTTTAATACAGAAGCCTCTTTCCTAGCTTCACCAAGCAGAGTCCTTCCAGATGGAATCGGGTCCAAGTATTCTCCGGGGCTGCTGGTCTCCTCTCTGCGGTTGGGTCAGCTCCCCTGGCCTGGCCCTTCCTCATTGCAGCAGAGGTTAGCATGCTGCAGAGGCTGAGCTGAGCCTAGGTGGACCCCCAGAGGGGGCTGAGGACGTTGAGGAAAGACCAGGGAGGAGGCTTCTGTCTTCCCAGCCGCCCGAGAGACGACAGGGCTGTGGCGGCTCCAGAGGCGTGCTCTCCACTGAAGTGTCCCCCCTTGTGTTGCAGAGATTAACCAAAATGCTGACAACCTGCACGTGTTCCTTCTGATCTGCGGGCTCAGGCAAGTCAAAGACCCGCTCTACCTGGTGGATGCCTTTTCAGGTATGTTCCCTGCGGGGCCTGTGAGTGTCAGGACATTGAACGCGCCCGTCAGAGCTCTGACGCTGTCCTCTCTCTGTCCTCGTGCTCTGAACGTGTGCAGAACCATTTCCAGATTGTTACAGCAGAAACCACGGGAAACATGGCTGACGGGCTTAAGGGAGGGGTGGTGACTTCAGCCCAGTTTCCTGCTTTCCTCTGTCGTCAGAGCCGAGGAACTTATCAAATCACAGCTGATCAGGAGGCTACAAATTTTTATCTGGAAACTATTCCATACATGCCTATTTGCACAACAGGTTTACCACTGTATTTTGTTGTTGGAGTTGATCTATTTACGCTTGAGTTCACTCTAAAATCCATATTGGGTTTTGGTGGCATATTGGTCCTAGTTCTCTGGTAAATTAGAAATATGGATAATGTACAACATAGTGGGGAAAAATCTTATTTAAAAACATAAACTGATATGATATATCAAGTACTATGTAATGTTTTGAACAGCCAACAATAAAAAATTAAAAAAAAAATAAAAAAATAAAAACATAAACTGTCACATGTACAAATTCTCAAGAAATATAATTTACAATGGCTAATATTATGATTGGTAGTATAAGAATAAGAAATTGTTTATATTTTGCAGTAATATATGTTAAATGTAATTGTACAGCTGTGACTTAAAGCCATTTTAAAAAATCTTTTTTTTTCTTTTTCCTTCTCAAGAATGGCATCAAGAAGAGCCCAACGTTTACATGGTAATTGTGGGCCCTGAAGTAAGTCCATGTTCTGTGAACATTTAGTTCATCTCTGTTTTCTTCTTTGTCCTCTTTTATGTATTTTCTAAAAATTAGTTTACATTACTCTCCTAACCAGCAGGACTTTTTTTTTCTTTTTAACTAAATGAAGTCAGTTTGCCTTTTAAAAATGAAAACCAGACCAAGGTTAAAGATCATCACAACTGCAATTAATCTTTGCAGTTAATTTATTGCAGAAGTCATTACAATTAATCTTTACAACCACCTTTTTGCTGCAAAGGATAGCATACTTAAATTCTTACACAAATACAGATGGATCATACAAAGAGAAAATTATTTAAAGTCCTATAAAGTGGAGGTTAGGCTAAATCAACATCGTGCACAGCCCACTTTGTCTCTAGAACTCTCTTAAATTGCTCAAGAAGGGAACTCAGTGCTGTTTCTTCAACCCAGCCTTACACTGAGTTGTCGGCCAGTGTTGAGAGGCCTTGTGTGGAGCATGCTTGTCTATAAGCAGAAGGAACTCAGGGGTGGGGAGATGTCCACAAGTGACCATGGCGGCCCTTGCCAGGGAGGAGTCCTGTGGACTCCTTGGAGCTGTCCCTCCTGTCCCCCACTGTCCAGTCACCTGCTCTGTCTCACACTCAGTTTTTGGTGCTCAGGACCCAGAGAATCTGTGGCCACCCTGGCTGACTTGTAAATAGGAGCTGACCCAGTGGTTGCTTCCAGCAGTTTGGTGTTTCTGGCCAGGAGGACGCAATGTCGCAGCAACAAGTCCATTTCTTCTTGGGGTTTCTGGGCCAGGGTTGTTGCTGGGGTCTGAATGCTGTGTCCCACCCCCATTCCTATGCGGAGTCCTGCCCCAACATGTCAGGGTGTCTGGAGGTGGAGCATTTGGCTTCAGGGGATGGGATTAGTGCCTCATCAAAGGTCCCAGAGAGCTGCTCCCCATCACCCCCAAGTGAGGACATAGGAAGAAGTCACCAGCTATGAGGCAGGAAGCGGATCTTGCCTGACTCCAAGTCCTCTGGCACCGTGACCTTGGACTTCCAAACTGCAGAACCGTGAGCAGCACGTTCCTGTTCGTTCATAGCCCCGAGTACATGGTGCGATGCTGCAGCGCCCCGAACAACCAAGACAGTTAAGTCTGTGCCGTGCTGTGCTGGGTCCTGGGAACCTCTTCTGCCCCCACCTTGCTGCCTTTGTGTGGGTGGGGACCCAGAGTTGTGATGGCACACAGGCTCCACCCTCTCTACATAGGAGCGACCCTAGCCAAGAACTCCAACTCCAGAGAAGGGTCGACACACAAGTTCCCTGAGGCTTGGAGGTGTGGTCCTTCTTCCTCAGCTGGTTTTTCTGGTTTTCTCAGGGACTGTAGCACTGCGGGCTTGCTTCAGTGTTCCCAAGGGCTTTTGAATCAAAGTGTGAAATATGATATATCAAGAAATTTGTAATGTTTTGAACAACCAACAATAAAAAATTAAAAAAAAAAAAAGAAACCCTTGCAGGGATTTGTTTCCTTGCAAAGAGGCCAGAGAGGCTAGAGAAGCTACTAAGGTCTGGCATCTGTGCAGCTGCGCTGCGTGCCACCTAGGAGAGGACCCCCATCCATGCCATGTGCTTGTTACAGCACGCACTCTCACACCTCTGCACACATGCACACAGAGTGCTGGCTTTGGGTGGTAACAGATGATTCCTGGTGCACTAATTACTCTTCAGTCCCACAGTGGGAAAGTTACTATTATTTAAAAAAATCCTTCTTCCAGCCTTCTGTTTGAAGGACATGATTAGAAGAAAAAGTTTGATGCTGCGATTCTTGTTAGCCCAGGAGAAGCTTTCAGGCTTAGGCTGTGGACTAGCAATGACAGCACTCAGAGAACTCAGTAAGGTGACTTTCTTGCCGGGCACAGTGACACATGCCTGTGACCCCAGTGGCTCAGGAGGCTGAGGCATAAGGATTGCAAGTTCAAAGCCAACCTCAGCATCTTAGCAAGATCCTAAGCAACTCAGCAAGACTCTGTCTCCATAAATCAAAATAAGTAAGTAAATAAAAAGGGCTGTGGATGTGGCTCAGTGGTAAAGTGCCCCTGGGTTCAATCCCCAGTACTGGAAAAAAAAGACCCCCCCAAAACAAGCAAAAAAATACTTTCTTTTTCAAAGTTTACATTTTCCTGATGCTATTCTACTTAGAGTACGTGGAACTGGCTTTCCGAATAGGATGATCTCCTTTAAACATAAAACAAATTGATTTCAGGAAAAGTGCTCAAGAAGCAATGGTACAGATGACATGCAGGCACGACAAATCGTGAGGACCCGTGCAAACAGCTGAGTCAGGTGTGGGTGTGCAGCGGGAGAAGAGGCCAGCACAACATGGGCGTGGGGCCCACGTGGTCTTGGCTCCATATGTGTCCTCTTCAGGAAACCTGCGGGCCTGGTGGAGAGTGCCACTGTTCCAGAGAAACCCTCCTGGGTCCCCGCTGGGCTCCACCACAGCAGCCCTCTATCACAGCCCTTCAGGGGGGACATCATAGGAGCTGCTGTGCTCCTATGACACGTGCCTTTCCTCCCCTGTCTTTCCGGAATGCCTCTCCTCTTGCCAACCTTTGCCTGCTTTGTGAAGTAACCATCAGTGTGAAACGAGCTTCTCTTTCCTTCCCAGTGGGCAGTGAGGCCCACTGTCCCTGAGGTGTGGCGGCTGTGGTGAGCTGGGAGGGCTGCATCCAGCCGCAGCAGGGTTGGGGCTTGGAGGTGCAGGACTCTGTGCCACCTTGTGAGAGCTGTGTGTGTCTGGAGGCCTCATGAGTGCATGTGTGGGTCACTGTTGCCCAGGATGATGGCGTGTGCTGCCTTCATTTCTAAGTGCCCACACTGCGGGCCCTCACACACACCCCATCGCCCACGGAGGACCTGCACAGTGCGCTTCTCTTGTTCTCCTCTGCTCTGGAAGGATGTAATCACTAACTGGTTTTGAGCAAAGACTGATGAGGTGTTGACTGGGGTTTGACGATCCAGGATTAGGGAGCAGAGGGTGGTTTGGGATAGGTTGAAGGCCATGGTGGAGGGGCCTGTCTCGGCCATTGCCAGAGGCCCTAGAGCCCCAAGTGGATCTAACACCATTGCAGCTTCCCCGACCACAGGGTGCTTACCAGGCAAGCTAGGTACAGGGCAAGTCCCTGGGTCCCCACTCCCACTAGACCACCCCACCCATGTACCCTCGGGGCTGTTGTGGGGCTTTATCTGCAGCCCCACAGGTTAGTTTCCTGGGGTGGGGCAGAGGACACAGGCCGTGAGAGCAGTCGCCAGGCAGCTCTTCAGCCAGGCTCTGGGACTCAGCGTGAAGCCTTCCCAGCTGAGAGTGCTTCAGCTCCTTGCCTGAGTCCCTCGTGGCTCTGAAGCACCTCTCCCATGAGGCACTTCACTATCTGTAATTAAAACCCCTCCGGGAAATGGAGCTGCATCTTTGGCTGCACATTCGTTGCTGAGCAGAGCAGCCTCAGCACCAGGCTGGTGCAGGTCCGTGTTGCCCGGAGCTCTCCTGGGACTTGCCAGGTTCTTCCGCGATGGCAGGTGACACCGAATCTTCCAGGTCTGACTCTGGTTGCAGAAAGGTAGCGTCTCTGGGCCATCCAGCAGAATCCAGGCTCTGTCCTGCCTCCTGAAACATCTTTCTCACATCTCAGATGGACAGCCGACAGCCCCGCAGACCTGCGTACCACCTCACAGAGCGGCTGGAGGGTCTGCACCCCAAGGCAGCTGAGGCCCCGTAGTTATGACCCTCCAGCCACCTGTGTCCTTCCTGATGCTCTCTGTCCTTAGACGTTTCTTTCTGGTACTGGGGATTGAAACCAGGGATGCACTACCACTGAGCCACTGTCCTTTTTATTTGAGGACAGTGCCTTGCTAAGCTGCCCGGGTCAGCCTTGCACTTGAGATCCTCCTGCCTCAGCCTGCCAAGTCGCTGAGGTTACAGGTGTGTGCCACCATGCCTGGCTTGTCTTTAAGACTTAGCATGTTTTTTTGGATCCTTTGGCAATTCAGATGGACTTGACCCTCCCCATTTTGTCTATGTTTTAGCCGTGGCCAATGGTAATACCGCAGACACTCGACCACCAGCTGTCTGTGGCAGGGCCCATTTGTGGAAAACCCTATTTGGCCTTCCATGGTGTAATCACTTTCATGGTGCTCAGTCCCAAGTTTCCAAGCTGATGTCACTGAAGGGAGCCTTGAGAGGAGATGGGATGGGCACCAGCAGCTGTCACCAGCAGGCAGAGCCGCCCCAACACATGCTATGTGGCAATGTGCTACACACACAACACACACACACACACACACACACACACACACACACGGGACTCACCTGCCACACGCACACACTGGAATGGAAAGGAGGTCAGCTAAACAACATTTACTTCTTGCGGTTCCTGCACTCTGATAGTTTAAAGAAACTTTTGGGGTCCTAGGTTCTGGCCTAGCAAGCACCCTGCTGTCAGGTACACCCCAGGTGCACTAGACCTGCTTAGAAATGGGCCCAGGGGCCTTGGCAACCGTGCCAAAGCTTCCATAACAGGCCCTTCCACATCCCTTTACAAAGTGCTGTTTCCACCTCAAATTTGCTTTCACGATTTGCTGTGTGGTCTGCGTGACTTGAGCCATGCAGTGTGGCAGGTGTCTATTTGTGCCAGACCCCACTGGACATTGCCTGTGTGAAGGCACACTTGCTGCTTCCTTGTGAGACTCCCCCTGGCTCACCTGGCTCCCGAAGGACCCTCTCAGGTGCACTCCCTTGAGCTCTCAGCTCCAACCCACCCCCTGTCGCTGCAGAACTCTGAATCCTCCAAGTCAGGCCTTCAGTTTGACATCATGTCTGGATCCAGAGTGAGGGAGATGGACATCATCTTACACTTGAGTTTGGACACGTACTATAGCATCAGGGGCCCACATGCTCATGATCTGGAGGCAGACAGAGAAGGGGCAAGAGGTCAATTCTAGGGACGCCTTAAATTCTTAGTTTAGTGACT